AGCATAGTGGGCAAGGGATACAACCTCTATCTTAAAGGGTACGGCCCGGCAGGTGCACACAACATTTCCTCTGAATCACATTGTCTAGAATTTAGTCACTTGATCATACTTTGCAGCAAAGGAGGTTGGGAAATCTAGTCTGCATTCTGAGACGTTGTATGCCCAGTTAATATCCAGGTGGCCTATTACAAAGGAATAAAGGAAGAACGAAAATTGGGGAAGAATACTAGTCTCTGCTGAAGGGCACCCCATTGCCATCCCTATGCATCGAAGCCATACCTTCTACTGTGTCTGCACGGTTCAGCCCCCTATGGCTCTAGTTTCTCGAATGCTCTTCTGGAAGATTGAAGGAGGGGATAATATTCCCATCTGGAGATTCTGTTGTTTTTTTTTTTTTAGATTTTTAAAATTTGTTTCCTTTTTCTCCCCAAAGCCCCCCGGGTACATAGTTGTATGTTCTTCGTTGTGGATCCTTCTAGTTGTGGCATGTGGGGCGCTGCCTCAGCGTGGTTTGATGAGCAGTGCCATGTCCGTGCCCAGGATTCGAACCAATGAAACACTGGGCTGCCTACAGCGGAGTGCGCGAACTTAACCACTCGGCCACGGGGCCAGCCCCATGGAGATTCTGTTTTACTTCATTTGAAGGAAGAAGCAGAGAGGATTTGGGGATTGGTGAGTACTTTCTGTTCTCCCAAATTCTGTCATCCATGATCCACATTTGTTTGACTAATTTGTACCTTGAGGTGTCCAATTTTTAGACACTGTTATATTTATCATTCTATCCTCACGCTAGCCATGGGTTTTTTGTATAATTGCCCACAATTTACAAGTGAAAAGACTATTGCTCAGGAGGTATTTGTAGCCGCCCCAATGTTGAGGAGCTATCAAGTGTCAGTGCTGAGATTTGTGCTCAGGTCTTCTGACTGCAAGTTCAGAGCTCCTTCAGAGCACCCTTCCTGCTTCACTCTCCCTGTTGTCTCTGGTACAGCTCTGCCAACTGGGGCACCATGTGGTCTGAATGCTTGCTTTGTCCAACTCATTATCTGGGTTTCAGGCGACAGCAAAATTGTCTTTGCTGTTCTTGATCTTCTGATCTGTATCAATTTGAGAACTGGCTAATCAAGTACTGAGAAAACTCTGTTGAGATTTTGATTGGAATGACATTGGATTCATGCATCAATTTGGAGGGAGACGCCATCTTTACAAAACTGAGTCCTTCCTTCTATGGACATAGTGTACGTATTTCCATTTATTTAGGTATTCATAAACATTTTTCAATAATGTTCTATGATTTTATTAATGTCTTGAGTATCTAGATTTATTCCTAGGTAACTTATAGTTTCATTGTTATTGTAAATGTTAAAAAAAATTCTTTTTCTTTTTAAAAAATCAGCAAGGAATTAATTTTTCTCATATAAATACATTCAAAGGTAAGCAATCCAAGACTGGTTCCGCAGATTCAGTTATGCTATTGAAGGCCCAGGCTCCTTGGGTCTTCCTCTTGCACCACCTCCAGCCAGTGGCTGTTACCCTTCTGGCCACCAGATGGCTCATCCAGCTGCAAGTGTGGGGTCCTGATTCCAGGAAGGAACGAATAAAATGGGAGAAGGAAGAAGAGAATGATGCTAGGTTGGCCACAAGTGGTCTCTTTATCTCTAGGAATGCTCTTTGCTTTAAAGTCTGATTTTAATAGAGTTGTACCAATTTAATTATTGTATCTTTTTCTTCCCATCCTCTTACTGTCAATCTTTCTGTATCCTTGTTTTAGATGTGTTTCTTGTAAATAGAATATGGATGAATTTTATAAAAGTGCAGTCTATCTTTGTATTTTAAGTGGACTATTTGGTCCATTTGCATTTATTGGAATTACTCATATGACTTAATTTATAGTCATCTTCTATTTTTTGGCTTGCCATTTTTCTCACTTTTTAAAATGTTTCTTTTTATCTCTTCTCTGTTCTTATTTTGCATTGATTGAATTTTTTCTCATTCTACGGTTTTCTCCAATTGAGATTTAAAGTTTTATGGTTATTTCTATTCTTTTAATAATTACAGGTGAACTTTTACTAAAACACTTAAGTTTAAATATTTAAATTAGGTATTAATTGAATGAACACATAAATGAATAAGCTGACAGACTAAATTTAATCAACATCTTTGCGTCTTTTCGAACAATGCAAGGATCTTATAACCCTTTAATTAATCATTCCTTGCCAGGAAGAGAGTGATGTAATATTGTCATTTGTTTTTAGTTAATGACATTTGACTGATTTTAAGACATTCTCTTTGTTTCCTGAAATTTTACTGTGATGTGTTTAGATGAAGATTTCTTTTTATTTATTCTAATTTGTACTTGTTGCACTTCCTCTCTCTGAGAATCTTGTGTTTTATTAATTCACAAAATGTCTCAGTCATTGTGTCTGAATATTTCTTTTCTCTCATTCTCTCTACTTCTTCCTCTTGGAATTCTGCCTAGACACGTCAGATCTAAATGTCTCTTAAATCTCTCTTTACTTTCCAGCTCTTTTTTCTGTCTGAGTTGCATTCCAGGTAATTTCTTCATACCTATCTTCTAGCTTACTACTTCTCTCTGCAGCTATTTCTAATCTGTTTACTGGAGTTTTGATTCTAATTACTATAATTCTCATTTCTAGAAGTTCTCTCTGGGATTTTAAAAAATCTGCTTGATCATTTTTTGATAATCTCTTCTTTTTGCCAATACTTTAACTCCCTTTTTTTATATCTTTAAATATGTTAAACACGCTAATTTTATATCCCATATCTAAAAGTGGCCATAACTGAAGGATTTGTGCTCCTGATTTGATATTTGTAATTTATGCTGAATTTCAGGTTTTCTTTTCATACTGTGAAACAGTGCTTTTAGGAATTATTTGAGGCCTAGGTGAGGGTGAATTTCTCCAGCCTTTGTTTCTGACAGGGGTCTAGGGTCACTACCATCTCGAGGACTTTAAATTCTTTTCTCTGGATTTCTGGATCACCTAAGCAGTGGGAATTCAATCCGTAAGTCTGTATTAGAGTCAACTTATCTTCATGAGTCTTCATTTCACTCCTTTCTCCAAGAGTCTGCTTGTCATATCCTTAGACGAGGTAGATTTCTTTTCCGATTGCCCCATGAAATTGCAGATTTATACAGGGTTCTTCACTTTGACTCCCCAATTTACTAGCAGCTCTAGGATTTGTTGACTGTCTTCAACACAGTTATCAAGTGCAGTTTTGGGTTACGAGAGTTTTGGCAGACGCCACTAAGGCAGTGTGCAGGAGAGAGGTAACGCAGAGGGCTGCTCCTTACAAGTCCTGCTTGCAGGGCTGGCCCTTGGTTGTCTTCTTGGAATTTGGCTTTTGGAATGTTCCTATGCTGATAAGGTTGTTTTGCGTGCCTGGAGCACTGAACTCCATTGTGTCTGCTTGCCTACCCTGCACAAACTGTGTGATTTCAGGTGGACATCTGCTTTTCTTCTGGGAATCTTGAATTGCAGTAGTTGTGCAGGCAGAGTGTCTGTGTGTCCAGGCCCCAATAAAAACTCTGGCCTCTGAATCTTAATTGGGCTTTCCTGGGCAGAAACGCTGCATACATGTTACTGTGTGGCCCGTCACCAGGGGGAGAATGTAGGGAGCCTGCATCTGGATTCCTCCAGAGTCCACCTAACATGTCTTTTTTCCCTTGTTGATACTGCTGTGCATCCTTTTGCTCTAATAAAACTCAGCCATGAGTACAACTGTATGCTAATCCGTGGGTCCTCCTAGTGGACCACAGGATGTGTAGGTGGCTGTGGGACTCTGAAACAGGTAGATACTGGTTTCAAGACTCAGCTCTCTGAATTCATGCTCCTACTTCTATTATGGCCTATTCAGGTTAGCCATGAATTAAAAAATGTCTGATTCGTATTTTATCCAGAAGTTTTAGATGTTTTTTTCATGGGACAATTATTCAGGGTTTCTATTTCACCATATTGTTGGATGTCCTACCTTTAAAAAAATGATTTCCAAAATGATTGCATCTTGGTGTTATGTTATCTACTTTTTAATATTTCCACACAGTCAAAATAAAAAATCCATTTCTCAAATTGCCAAGCATTCACCCTCTTAAATCTGAATTGTAGAGGGCAGGGCTCAGAGTCTCAGCTCCCCTCATCCTTCGTACCCAGGACCTACAGACCCAGGACCACCCTCAAAGAAAGTCTATTTTCAGGGGCAGCAACTCTAGACCCAGAGGGGAGGTTGGGAGTGGGAAGAGCATTGTAGGTCTGCTAGTGGCTCATTCTCCACTGCCTCCCTCAGCCGAGAGGAATTCCCTGGAATAACTAAGCAAGAAGCTGGGAGCAACGACATGAGAGTTTATTATCATCGCTGCTCAAGAGGGGACATGAAGCAGGTCAGGAGGGTGAATGTGGGCAAGAAATGTCAGGAGCCTCTATGATGGTTGGTGGGGCAGGGCAGTGGCCATGGCTGTGACTGTGGGGGACAGATAACTGGGGCTTTTCCCCGGTCGAGTTCTTCTTCCAGGAGTCAGATGCAGTCATGCTCAGTCCAGAAGCAGCTCCAGGCCTGAGTCCTCAAGAGAGGCAAGGCTAGATCTCATTCCCTCCCAGCAGTTTCTTCTGGTCTCTTTTCTAAGGGAGGAGGAGGGGCGAGAGAGCCCGATGGGGAGAGAAAGCCCAAATTCTCTCCTCTAGGGCAGCTTAGTTCTGGAGTCAACCAGATTCAATATCAGCCTCACAGTACCTGATGCAAAGAGCCCCAAGGTCCCACAGTGGATATGGACTTCCCTGGCATCCTGGGATCTTTGGCCTGGGGGCCACCTGGTCAGGGATGGGGGCTCTCTGGGCTGGGCCACCACTGGGGTAGAAAGACAGGCATGATGCCGCTTGAGACTCATTGTAATGGGCTCTTTTCTCCTCCCCAAACCATCCACTTTCCATTCCTCTCCTCTGGACAGCCCTGCCGCCCCAAACATATAGACGTGTATGTTAAGGACTCACCTCCTTAGGTCGGAGTCTTCTCCAGCAGTACAGGCAAAGAGGGGCCAGAGATGCCAGAAGCAGCAGGATCCAGATACCCAACAGCATGGCCCGGATGCTTATGAACAGGGCCTGGGGACAGAGGAGTAAAGCTGTAAGTACCAGAGTGACTGTTGCCATCTGTGCTCTGTCCCTACGCTCATCCCCGACACAGTGTCACTCTCCACCCCTTCATCCCTAAGTCTGTAGCTTCTGGAGGGGGCTGAAGGAGGAGCTCTGCATGGACGGGGGCGGGGGTGGGTGGGTCGCAGCAGTCAATGGGTCTAGTGTGCAGAGGCAGCCAGGGACCTCTCTTATCGGACCTCAGCAACCTCATCGGAACAGTGACAGGCTTGGGCTATGATCTGGTTCCCGACAACCCCAACACTTGAGAGAATCAAGGGAGAACACACATTTAACACCTTTGCAGCACTTCGCACACTTGCAATATTGCCCCATTTCCTGTTGTTTCAATGTTTGTATTTCCCTCTAGTCTGTTTTGTTCAATGCCACATCTGTGGTGACAGCAGTCAAGTTTGGGGCAGAATAGGTGACACTCTTTTTGATGGACAGCCTTTCTCTTGTCCACTGTCTGGAATCTCCCTGCCCACCGCCTGCTGCCGCCACCCTGCACACCCACCTTCAGCATGTTCAGGTAGGAGAGGCATAGGTGCAGCCTTCTGACTTCTTCTGGACTTGGAGTGTGGGGGGCCGAGGTGGGCCAGCTTCCCGAGGGAGAGATATCACAGATATCCTCAGACTCAAAGCGATACTCATAGAAATTACGAGCCCCAATGACAACGGCAGCAGTGGCCGTGGAGAAAGCTGCAAGGGCGAGCAGGGTCCTCAGCTGGGCCTGGTGAGGAGAGGAGGCAGAGAGAGACCTTGGTGATTCAGTGTCTCCTGGAGCCCAGCCCCGTGAAAAGACTGGGAGGCCCAGTGGAACTGGCGTGTGATGGGGCAGAAGGCTTGGGCCTCGTGTCAACCCCTGCTCACCCCAAACTCACCAAGTAAAAGCCACCTCGTTTCTCATAAATGAAGGCAATGGTTCCAGCCAGCACAGCCTGGGGAGAGAGTCAAGCCGGAGGGTCAGCACAGGAAAGGCAGCCCCTCCAGCTGCCACTTCTGTTTCCCTCTGTAACTGCAGCAGATAGAGCCCAGCATCGCTGGCCCTTCCCCAGAACACTCTATGTGGACCCAAGTCTCTGAGCTAAGCTTTGCTGTCTGTAGTAAGGTAACAGTGAAGGAGTTGAGGCCTGAACCAAACTCCTGAGGCTACAGGACCTTCTGTTTTAGCGACTTGGAAAAGTGCTTCTGGTCTAGCCAGGTGTGAGCTCTCCCTCCCTTTCTTTGTAAGCAATGCCAGGTGCTTTATGAAAGTTCCAGATGGCGGGTGGAAGTCTAGGTCTCCGAGCTGCCTCAGGTCTAGGCATTGTCCTAACAGTGCTCAGCAGCCCACCTGGCTGGGCTTACAGAGCAGGAGGTCCGGTATATCCCGGTGGACAGATGGCTCCGAATACCATTTGGCAATTCTCTTACTAATCCGAGTGTTTTTTTGCCATTGGGTGGCTGAGGATGATTACTTTTGGCCCCTCTCAATAAATAGTGTGTTTTGCTGTTATTCTGTGAGTGTGGGTATGCTAAATGACCCCTCAATCCTGCCATGACCTCCCCACCAAGCTCTTATTGCAGATTGCACAGCCCATCTGGTGACATTAACCACTGTCGTTCAGTGATACCCACTGGATTCCCACCATGTGCAGGACCTGCAGAGGGCAGTGAACGAGCGGCAAGTGGCCCTTCCTTGTAGGGTACACACTCTCCAGCACATTCTGCCTCCCACATCTCAGTGCAAGCCTCTGGAGAGGAGCTTGGTCCTAGATCCTTAGTTGATATTTGCTGTCGAAGATGGGGAGAGGTGGCCAGCCTGGTGGGAGAGGCCCTGGGCAGGGAGCCGGGAGAGCTGACTGGGCGGCTTTAGACAGACCACCACTTCCCTAAGCTATTTTCTCATCTGTAGAAATAGGGAATTGGCCTTGATGACTCAGGGTCTTTTTGATTGCTGACACTGTACAGCACCATGTGGATGGCGAGGGTGTTGATGGCGACAGTCTATGACCTCTGACAGCAGGTCCACCTGCCCCTTCCCGGGCCCATCAACCATCCTCCGGCTGCACTCACCACCACGCCTGTCCAGATGGCAGCTCCCGAGTTCCGCACAGGGGAGTAGTAGAAGAAATGGAGGAATCCTCCTAGGACCCCACTCAACACCCCCAGCACGATCTGCACCGCCTGAAAGATGAAGAACTTCAGAATCCGGCTCCCAGCTTCCTGGGCCTAGGAGCAACCCTCTGCCCCCAAGACTTGCGGTAGCTTTGAGGACCTGCCACTTCAAGTATTAACAGTTAGAACCCAGGAAAGAGAAAGAGAGAGAGGAGAGAGAAAGAAGGAGGGAGAGGAGAGGTGAAGAGAGGGGAGGAGAGGAAAGGGGAGAGGAAGAGAGGAGAAGAGAGGAAGGGGGAAGGTAGAGGAGAAGGGAGGGGAGGGGAAGGAGAGGAGGAGAGGAGGGGAGTGGAGGGGAGGGGAGGGGAAGACAAGTCAGCCTATGCTGGTGTAGAGGGGATGGACTCAGGGTTCCACCAGCTAGGACTTTAAATGGTCATGGGTCCTTTGCACCCCTTTAGCCCACAGCCTACCCTTCCTACTAGAGCTTTTATTGAAAAGGCTGGTCTGTGAGGAAAGAAGCCAGAGACAGAACACAGGAGAACTTGATTTCTAGTAACAAGATAAAACTGGCTTAGTGTCCTATTCAGAGAGGCTGGTGGAGAGTGTGCTCAGCAAGAGGATGGGTCTTCCCTTTCCTGATGCAGAGAGCCTGATGCCCCCTTGGGCCCCACGAGGTGGGCAGCCCTACTCACCCAGGAGGCCACCAGCAGCCGCCTGCTGCCCAGGGTCTGGGAGGAGGGCCGCAGCAGGGAGCACCCGCTCAGCAGGAGCTTGCCCAGAGCTGACTCCTGGTGGATGTGCACGTCGATGCAGGTGGGCTGGGGGCCCCCAGGGGCCACGACACCACCGTCTACCATCCCCATGCCTGTGGACATCTGTCTGGGGGAGGGAGGATGGGAGTGTCATGGAGAAAAAGTTGGCAGAAGGTTTTCACTGGAGTTCAGGACTGGTGGAGGCCCCTAGTCACAGAGCGGCACGGCAGGTCCTCCCTCTCAAGGGCTGTCATGTCAGGACAGCCTGACTCTGCTGGGGCTGTGGTGACCGCTGAGCCCTCTGGAACCTCCCCCTTCACGCCACATCTGCTGTGTCCCCCCACCCTCCTCCCAGGGCCTTGGGGTCTGGACCAAGCAGTACCCTGTATTCCTCCCCTTTCCACCCTCTGCTCTCAGCCGGCTCCTGCCATCGTGGCCCCCACCCTGGCTCTTCTCCAGGTCTCTTCTCCTCCAGAGCCCTCAGGCCACCGACAGAACCCAAGTCCCAGCCGCCTGCTGGGCTTCTGTTGCAGCAGCTGCTCCCCAGCTGGGCCTGGGGACACCCCTCAGCCCCTAAATATCTCCCTCTCCACCAACGGCCACTCAGCCCCACACTGCCTGTTCAAGCTGCCACCGCCCCCAAGAAAGGACCGAGCTGTGGGTGAAGGGGGGGTCACAGGCCAGACTGACTTGCCATCAGACAGGGATGCACTTGGCCTCTGTTCTTGCCACCTTCCCTAGTCACATCTTCCACAGGGTGGTGGGTCCCTCCCCCACTCCCTCCCCAGCAAGTCCTGAGGGGCGAGGTTGCAGAGAACTGTGAGGGGGCAGGAAAGCGAACCCCTTGGGGAGGGGGGCTGTGAGAAAGGTCTCTGAGAAAGGGCCACCTGGGCTGTGGGCCTGCCTCACCTGCTCTCTTCAGGGATCTGTGGCTGAGTGTGTGAGCAGGGAGGGCCGGGAGGGTCTGAGCTGGAGCTGAGGGCTGTGCAGAAGCAGGAGGGTGTTGGTGGAGCGCCAGAAAGGGAAGGATGGAGGCCAGACTGGTGGGACTTCAGCGTGAAGCTTCCCAGAACTCAGCTGGGCAAAGGGGCCCCTCTGGGGTTTTCCAGCCGCCGGAGGATCACTGGGCTCTGGTGCTGGAGAGCTTGGGGGCCAGGTGGGTAGCCTGGGAGACCTCGGAGCTGACCAGCCCTGGGAAACCCCATGAGGCTGTCGTGTCCCCAACCACCACCTGGGTAGGGGCTTTCTGAACAAAGATTTGCCTGTGCTGTATGTGTGCCCAGTGTGTGTGTTGTCTGAGTAGGCACCAGTGTGTGAGTGTGTGTGTGTGTGTGTGAGCGTGTTCTGCCATCTCCAGCCAACCTGATTATCTGCTCAAGACTGAACCCCCTAGAGGGGCCCCTCTGCCTCAGCTATTTTCTGGGATGTGATGCTGAAGGGCAGGCCCTTCTCCCTCCCCTCCTTCCTTCAGCTCTCGTCCCTCCCACCCACCAGCAGGTCCTCAGCTCTAGGTCGGCTCCTCCCAGGCCTGCTCTGCTCTGTGGCTGCCAGAAGACAGCAGGTAAGCAGGGCTATCACAGCTCCGGGGCCCCTTCCCAGGAGACTCTCACCGCAGGACCCCTCTCTCTCGGGGAGTCTCCAAGACCAGTCCCCAAAGCCTCCATCCTGTCTCATAGGATGCCTTCTCCCCCATTCCTGGTTCCCATAGGCCTTGCTTAGGAGGGATGGGTGTTATAGACAGAGGATGTGACCCTAGGAAAATGGCTGGGGAGGCATGTGTCTGGCCCCATCAGCCTGGCTCTCCCTCACCCTCAGTGGTGCCTCAGGCCTTTATTCTGCATGGGGTGGCTGAAGTTCAGGTTCAGGTGATTTGGTGGTGAGAGGTCCTCTGGAGTGAAGCCTGAGGGTGGAGGGCCCAGGGCATAGCAGGGATCTTGGTCCTCTGTCCTCAACTCCAGCGGCACTGGGAGGAGCTGGGCAGAGAAGAGTGTCCAGAGCAGCAGGGAAGAGCCCCACAGCCTGGAGTCACGGTGGTGTGGGAGGGGAATCTTCATGGGGCTGGCCTGCTTCAGTGGAAGAGCAGGGGGCTAGGCTGATCTGGGGGCAGGAGTCGGGTGAGGAGAGTGGTGGTACCCAGGGGGCTCAGAGGGAGCTGCAAGGTACATTCAGGGCTGCAACATGATGCTGAACTCCTGGGCCCCAAGGGAAGATCTGGGTGGAATCTGAGCTGGACTTCCTTGTGTGTGTCTGTGAACAAGTCTGAGCCTCCTTGTGCATCTGCAGAATTGTCAAACACCTGTCATTTATGCCTCAAAGGAGGCCAGGTAGGTGAGAGAGTGAAACCACTTTGAAAAGTACATAGAATACAGATGGGGAGACTTTAGGATTGCTATTTTTGCTGGTGTTATTAGAATTGTTATTAATAATATTATGATTTAAATGATGGTAATTAAGTAGGAGGCCCATTAGAGTTACCTACAGAGAATTTCTATTGAAGCTAGGCAGGTTGATTCTAAAGTGCACACACAGAAGTAAGTGAGCAAAAATGGCCATGAAAGAAAAAAATAACATGAAATAGCTCAACTAAATATTAAATGTATACTCATAATTAAAATTGTGGTGCATGACCCATCAGACACACCAATGGGCAGAATATAAAGAGTAGAATAAACCGGAATTCCTACGGGAATTTTGCTTTTGCTCAGGGGAGCATTTCAAATCAGTGGGAGAAAGATGATATATTCCACAAACAGAACATGCCCTCCAGAAGTAAACCATCTGGGAAAGAAAAATAAAAATAAAAACCCAACCTAACTTGGATTCATATCTTCCAATTTCCAAGAGAAATTCTAGACGGATCTACATTTAAATGTGAACTGAAAGCATAAAACCACTTTGAAGAAAACACGAAGAATTATTTTATAATCTTGAAATGGGAAAGTCCTTTTTAAGTAGGATGTAAAACCTAGAAATCGTAAAAAAGATCGAAAACTCGGATTATATAAAAACTCAAGCAAAGTCAAAAAATACATCACAAATTGTAAAGAAATATTTGGAGCTCGAGTCACAGATGATAATTTTTCAAATACACAAAGAACTCCCGTAAAGACCAAAATGAAACAAAGTAAACAAGAAGGATGTAGGCTATGAACAGAGAGCTCATAAAAGAAGAACCGAAAATGGCCATTCAGCATATGAAAAGATGACCAACCTCACTCATAATAAGAGAACCAGGAACTGAACCTCTCCTGGAAGAGCCACAGACGGCAGATCAGCGGTTGCCTGGTGCAGGTGTTGGGGATTTATTCTGGGAGGAACCTTAGGGAGGTTTTTGCAACATAGAGATGTTCTGTATCTTGACTCCAGTTGTGGTTGCACAAATGTACAAATTTGCCCAAACTTGTTGAGATATACACTGAAAAGGGAGCATTTTATTGCCTAAAATTGATTAAAATCTACATTGGAATGTAATTTTCCTGATATGCATTTGAAAGAGATTAAAAAGTTTGCTGACACCTTCTGCTGGCCATGGGGAGGGGCTGTGGGTAAGCTGCGACCTTCCTCCTGCCTGTGAATTGCATGGAGGTCGCTCCACGACGGCAAGATCCATCAAAACACACATGCGCCTTTCCACTGACCTGCAAACTCCATGTTGTTTGTAAGAAAAAAATAAGTGTCTATCCATATGAGACTGCTTAAAAAAATTATGATGCATTCATACAGTGGCATACTCCGTAACTACACAAATGAGTGAGGAAGCATTTTATGGACTGATGCAGGATTATTTTTAAATGTGGTTCTGTGAACAAGTCATTGTGCAGAACAGTGTGTTTGTGGGAAAACTGGGGGAGGAAATATCATTGTAGGATATGTAAGAGAATGATGATATTAGTTTCCATTTGGAGGGCAACTAGGTGGTTGGAGAGAAAGCTAGGAGAGAGGGTTTTAAAGGTATACCCTTTCGTATTGTTTGAACTTTTTCACCGTATGAGAGTATTATGTGTAAATATGTATACTAAGTCACTGAAATAATTCAGATTCCTTTCTTTGTCCAACCTGAGACCCGGAGAAACTTTATCAGATAGTTTTGGGGAGAGGTCCAAGAATATATGTGGTAAAAGACTCTAGAGCCGATTTGGCTTTGCACCCCAGATTAAGGTCACCATGACATTGATACCTACACTGGAAGGCCCTTTGGAACTTGACAAGGAGACTGTTTTCTCTCCCTTCACTCATGTGATGTGTTCCTTTTTGCCTTACCTCGTTCCCAGACCTCACTTCTGTACGTCTTCTCCCCAGCAGGCACGATGACCCAAAACATGGTGACTCTGAATGGAGTCGATGTGGCCTCCACGCTGCCGCAGCCCACCCACATCAACATCCACATCCACCAGGAATCGGCTTTGGCACAACTGCTAAAAGCTGGAGGTTCCCTGAAGGAGCTCTTTTCTCGCCCTCGGGACAGTGGCCCTTCCAAGGCCAGGAAAAGCTATGGGCAGCTGGCACTAGGGGTAAGAGTGGGCTGGAGAGGCTGGTTAGTGAGGTGCCACAGAGGAGGACACTCTCCTTCCTCAGTAGGATGCAAAAAGGAGAATGGGTTGAATCCCAATGAGAACTCACTATTTATATCCCGTCTTGTTTGGGAAAAGAAGGTTTTGGAAGGTTCCCCACAGAAGTTTGGATGAACGAGAAGGCTGGACTGCTTGGATGGATGGTGCAGTGGGGCAGTGCCAGCCAGAGGTGGGGATGGGTGGAAGAATCCCTGGGGGCTGTTGATTCAGATTAATGGAACCCACATGCACTGAGGGCCTGCAGATGCAAGGCAGTAGGCTAGGCACCTCAGGGAAAACTGCTCAAAGGATCCCTGGGCTGCAACCTAAAGGGGCTCAGCATGCATCAGAAGGGATCAGGCAACTACACAAATGCCTAGAATTAAAGGCAGATTAGGTGATGTCCTTGGAGGCAGGGCGGCAACCTGCAGGAGTTGGCATCTGAGCCAGACCTTTAGTAGAGAAAGAGTGGGTTTAGACAGATAGAAGCAACGGAATTCTAGGTTAAGAGAGTGGCAGGAACAAGGGCAAAGAAGCCAGAAAGCACAGGGCAAGTTCTATCAGAGTAAAGAGAATGGGATTCATGGCTGATTAGCCTGGAAATGCAGCCCAGGGCTATATTGCCGAGAGCCTTGAATGATGGGGTGAGGAGTCTGTCCTGAGTCAGCTTCCATAGTGGGAAGGCTGTGGATGGATTCTAAGCAGGAACCTGGGCTTTAGGCTGCCTCACAGCTAGAAGGTGTCCAAGGAAGAAGTACAAGGGTCTGCGCCTGTGTGGTCACAGCGGAAATGACGAGGAAAGGGAGGAGTCCAAATCCTTTGTGGATAGGGTCTCGGTGACTTGGGAGTGAAAGGGTTTGGGATACAAGGGAGGAGAGGAGCCCAAGAACATGCTGAGGTTTGGAGTGTGGCTGACCAGGAGATTGGAGCCCTGGAAGTCAGGGGAAGGCAGACGTTGGAGGTGTGGGTGGGGTGTGGAATTTGGGTGTGATGAATCTGAGATGCTAGCAGGACATGCAGGCGGTGATGTCCAAGAGGCTGTGATAGTCGGATTCTCCAGGAAGTAGATGCTGAGTTGGAGTTAGGTGTGCAAAAGGTTATTGGGGTGTAAGAACTAGGAAACGAAAAGGGAGGGAGCAGAAATGGGCAGGGGGAGACATTAGACCATGATGTAGGCCTGACAAGGTCTCTGCCAGCCCAGTGGGGAGCTCTGGAGCAAAGACTGCCCTTCCAGGAGTTCCACGTTGGGTGGAAATGGCCGTTGTACACTGCCTTGCTTAGCCATTGGCTGGGCAGCCGTCCCCAGAGTGTGCCCTTGGCTTGAAAGACGAGGGGCCCTTGAAGGAGCTGACCACTGTAGGCTGTCAGCTAACCACAGTCTTTTCTTGGAGGGGGTCTTTTTCACCCATCATGGATAAGATGATGTGATTCCCAAGGGAGAATAAGGAGAAAAAAGTGAGAACCATCAGGTGGGATGACAAAAGTGTGGTGTTTAGGAAAAAGTGATGAAGGCTAAAAGCCTGGCATGTCAGAGGGATGGGGAAGAATAGGACATGCTGCTTCATGGATGGTAAGGGAACAGAACCTTCCAGAATCAGAGCTGCAGAGAGGTCAAGGCAGAGGAGAAGGAGAGGAAAGCCACCTAGGTGGGAGCTGGGTGGCTGCTCCTGAGGCTTGTGGGCTTTGTGGGAAGGAGTCTGGCTCTGTCTTGCAGGTGACCCAGATATTGCTGGGGGCTGTAAGCTGTGCGCTTGGAGCGTTTCTCTACTTTGGACCCTGGACCGAGCTGCGTGCCTCAGGCTGCGCCTTATGGGCAGGGTCTGTGGTGAGTAAGGAAGGGGCTGTGAGCTCAGTGGGAGGCAAGCCATTGAGCAAGGAGAAAGTTCCCTTGGATCTGGGTCAGGCATGTGGGGAAGAGACCCAAGACCCGGAGTCCAAATGCCCTTTGCCATGAGGAAGCTGCCTTAGGGGCCTGGCAAAACCCTTTCACTCTCCATTTTCCTCTTTACGGCAAGGGGCAATTGTAATGGAGTCCTGTCCATATGCCAGGTTTCTTTGCCTGTCCCTGGGATCCTGCTCCAATTAGTTGTTCTGGGAGCTATTGGGGGAAGGGTGATGGAGATCATCTCAGGAGAGTAAATTGGAGGTCTTTTCTGGTGTCTTCTCTTCCCAGGCTATTACAGCAGGAGCTGGGACCATTGTCCATGAGAAGCACCGGGGCAAGCTTTCAGTGAGTCTTGGGCATCCTCTGCCCCCTCCTATGTCTCAGTCTTTCTGCTCTAGTTTCCTGTCTCCTCTCCTTTGGTTCCCAATATCCCGGGTTCCTTCCTGGAGGGGTAGGGAGGTTTTCCTGGGCTAGGAAGCTGGAGAAGAGGAGACAGGTTTGAGGCTGGGACCCCATGGCTTTGCCATCAACAGAGGGAGTCTGCATTCTGAACTTCTCTCTTTTAGGGCTGGGTGTCAGGTCTGCTCACCCTGGCTGGCGTTGCCACGGCTGTGGCTGCTGTTGTCTTCTGTGTGAATAGCTTAACCTGGCAAAGTGATGGCTTCGTCTACATCGACACTGTGTGTGATCCCCCAGCCCCTGCCTTCACAACCACTGGGTATAGATGGATGCAAAGAAGCTACGGCTCAAGCTGGAGAAAGGACTATTGCAAAGTCTACATGCAAATGCTGATGGTGAGAATGGAAAGTCCAATCTTCTAGGGACTCATCAGAACCATTTGTTCCCAAGGAACCAGGGCACTGGAAGGCAGACACGTAGGCTCTCTGTGCTTGGACCTCATCCTAGGTCTTTTGTTCACGAGGTTTTAACTTAGGCTGAAGACATTTCTCAGACCTTCATGACATGAAGATTCCTTGAATCAAAGGGGATGAGGGGCGAAGAGGAGACATTTAAGAGAGGATATTGTGGGCCACCCTCTGTCTTTCCCGGTGTGTGGCTGTTCCAGTTACCTATTGCTGCATAACACACCACCCTAAAAATGTAGTGGCTTAAAACTACAATTTGTTATTATTTCTCACATTCTGTGGGCTGACTGGGCTCAGAGGGGCAGTCCTCACTTGGGTTTTCTCATGCAGTTCAGATGTCAATGGTGGGTGAAGTCATCTGAGGGCTCATCTGGGCTGGACGTCCAAGATGATGAGATCCATGGCTGGGAGCTCAGCTGGGGCTATCAGCCAGAGGGCCTACAATGGCTTCACCATGTGGCTTGTACTTCTCATAGCTCAGCAATTAGGTTCCAACAGGGAGCATCCCACTGAGAGCATTCCAAGAAGTAGGAAATGGAAGCTGCCAGGCCAGCTAATGGCTACCCCGTTAATTGGCATAGTGTCACTTCCACTGTATTTTATTGGTGAAAGTGGTCACAGGCCCTTCCAGATCCTAGGGGCTGGAGAAATAGACCCCAGCTCTTCATAGTTGGTGGTAAGGTCATCTTGCTGGCAAGCAAATGGGGTGGAAGCTGTGGCTGCCCAAAGAGTTGGAAAATGCAATCTGCTTTGGTGGGAAGTAGTTAGTTGGACAGAATCTGATACCTGGCTGGGCTGATAAGGTGGTAGTAAGAGGAGATTCAGAGGAGTGGACTCCTGACTGTATCTTTTTTCTTCCTTTATCTCCAGAACTTGTTCCTAGGAATTCGTGCTCTGCTCCTGGCTGTCTGTGTCCTGCAGGTCATTGTATCCTTGGCTTCCCTGGGTGTGGGTCTTCGAAGCTTATGTGGCCAGAGCTCCCGGCCCCTGGTGAGCTGTCAGGGGGGCACTGGGGAAAGAGAGGGTCTGGTTGGTTGGTGAGGCTCTGGGAACAGGGAGAAACATTGGGGCCAGGCACACTGCCTAGCAGAGTCATGCTCAACCTCACTCAACTTCTTTCCAGGGCTCGGCTCCTCCCTTTGCTCTCTGAGGAGTCAGTGCATCCTGGGTTAACTTCCACCCTCTGCTTCTCCATGCCCTCCTTTACTCTCATTTTCCCACTTTCCCTCTTTTTTGTCCTAGATCTTTGTCTAGCTCCCCTTCCATGGTCACCTTTTCCTTCCCCTTCTTTCCTCTTCCTGATTTCAAGTTCTATGAAGCTAACTCTGCCCCATCCTTTTCCACCCAAGAATTGATTTCCCCCTGTTTTTTCAGGATGAGGAAGGGTCAGAAAAGAAGCTCCTGGGGGAGAATTCAGTGCCTCCTTCCCCGTCTAAGGAGAAGACCACGGCTGCCATCATCCTGTGAGCTGCCAAAGACCCTGCCTGGATCCCCACATGTCCCTGCGGAGTAGCCCAGGGTGCTCCCCCGGGCCCATCGCTGCCCTGTCCCTCATACTTGCCTCTCCTTTGGCCACTGTCCACCACCTCCTCCTCTCCCCATCACCCTCACCTACCGTTCCCACTCCAGTGTCCTCAATTCAAGGAACAGGTATTGTCACATTTTCCCCAACGCTGATTAAACATAAACAACCATGAAAAATAATTTTGCACAGAAAGGTTGTGGTCTCCTTCTGTTTATACACATGGCATTCTGTGAAGGGCCTTTGTGTTGGTATGGATGGAATCAGACGAGAGTGGATTTGTCACATGGAAACAAGGTCCCAATGAGACTAAATTTAATTATGTTCTGCTCTATATCCCAAGCGGCAACACTCCTTTTTATGATTTCCTTCTGTTCAATGTAAAGTGAAAAAATCTCTCATATGCTTAGAATCTTTTAAAGACAATCTACTACGACTGTCTTTAAGCATCTACAACCTGGACTTGAATATACAGAACTATGTGAATCATGGAACAAGATCTCTCTCTTCCTCCCTCCTTCCCTTCCTTCTTTCTTTCTTTTTTTGTAGTAATTAGTGTTGGTTCTCTCTCTCTACGTACACACCTATTATTCTTCACTTTCATTGTAAATGATGTGCTCAATTTGTTTTTTACTTTTTTCATTTTTTTATAAATATATAATAGAAATACATAGATGTGAGCATTTCTAAAGGGTAAGAAAACAGGTTATGGTCTGGAGAATTAAAGATGTGATAGTCTGGCTTTTTTCTGATTCCACCATAGTAAGCAGCCTTGCATTTTCATTATGAAATCTTATGAAATCTCTGTGAGGTAGGTTTCCTTACTGAGCAGACTCACAGGAGAGCAACTAGTCTTCAAACCAAGCCGAGTGGCTCAACGCCCCCACCTTTACCCACTGTGCAGTACTGCCTCAGAGGCTGCGCTGAACACGTGCAGCGCTCCGGCAGTGAGGGGGGCGTGGCCCCAAGCGTGGAGGGCCTATGTCTCTCTCCCCGGGGCTTCTCACTGGCCTAGTCCCTAGATGGAGATTTATAAATAAGCTTGTGTAATAAAGGCTCACGGAGACAAGGCAGAAATATGTTCAGAGTATTGGGCAGTAAATGGAGGCATTGAACAGGGGTTACCAAATTACAGCCTGAGGGTCAAAGCCTGTCTGCCACCTATTTTTGTAAAAAAAGCTTTATTGAAACGCAACCACGCTTATTTGTTCACACATTGTCTATGGCACCAGGGCAGAGTTGAGTAGTCTCAACAGAGACTGATGGCCCACAAAGCCTAGAATATTTACTACCAGGCCTTTTACAGAAAAAGTTTGCCCTCCCCTGGCGTAGGGGGCGGTGGGGGTGGCTAGTTCTACTGGGTGATTGACAGGCGCCTATTTTCCTCCTGCTGCCTGTGTGAATCCGGCCCTGGACTGGCTGGCCTGGAGCCTGGAGCTTGCTGGAGAGGCAGACCCTCCGCCCTACCCCAGACCTCCTGAATCAGAATTTGCATTTTCACAGGATCCGCAGGTGCTTCTTGGGTTCAGCATGTTCCAAGAAGCACGGGTATACATAATCACATCTAGGCGGCTTGCCGGGGAGAATTCAGATATGGAACGAGGCCCCTTGAATTTAATCTTTGTTTTAATTCTTTTTATGAACTTGCTAACCTTAGAGTTTTAAAAAGGAATTTTAGTGATAAGAAACACAAACCCAAGATGCTGGTAAGAGAAGGCATCTTTACTTTCTTCCTTAGCTTAAGATGCTATTAATTAATGTCTGTGCTTCAGTGTTTCTCAACCAATCCTTTTATGGCCAGACCAGATAGAAATTCTTATCATTTCTCATTCTGGTAAATAAATGTCAACATGGGTTTTTTTTGGGTGGTTATTGCATGAAATGGTCTCTTACTGTCAGAGTCTGACAACTTCTTCCTTTTTTCTCCTGACGTGTCTAAGTCTCTGAGGGAAGGTGGTCTCCACTATCTGCCCTCTCTAGCCCCCCCTGCCCTCCCTCTCCCCACCCTGTGAGTGACCTTGGGAGTTTCTGAATCTTTGTTTTCCTTTTCCGTAGGAAATAGGATGTCATGCTCCTCTCCCTGGCTTTTGTTTACTTAGATGACAGCTAAGCAACAGTTGTGCAGTAGACAACAGCTATTTGTCTATTTGCACAACTCAGTCGTGGTGATGAAGCTGTATATATACAATGGAAAGGGCTTCACGATCCCGAGATGGGGTGAGGCAAATCATCCCAAACCTATGGATGTGTAATATGTTTATCAAAGGACTTAAAACCATTCAGAGGACAAACAGGTTCTGTTCTTTTCTAATCACTGCTCTTAATTGTGTTTTGTCAACTCCCTCTTTCCCCATTGGATACTGACTCCTTTAACATCAGGGCCAGATTCCAGGTTCCCGAACTTCATCATTAAAATGGTCTCAGGCCCACCTGGTGGTATAGTGGTTAAGTTCGCTTGCTCTGCTTCTGTGGCCTCGGGTTCTCAGGTTCAGATTCCTGGTGTGGACACTACACCGCTTGCCCAGCCATGCTGTGGTGGCATCCCACATACAAAATAGTGGAAGATGGGCACACATGTTAACTCAGCACTAATCTTTCTCAGCAAAAAGAGGAAGATGGGCAACTGATATTAGCTCAGGGCCAATCTTCCTCACACACACACACACACACACACACACACACACACACACACAGATGTCTCAGGTTTGGTCTTCAAGACTCAGTCCTGTTCATTTCTAAAACTGCAATCATCAGAGCTTGGCTCCCCGCCCCAGGAGTAGGGAGGCTGCTCAGACCCGGAGGGGTCTGGGTGTGGGGCTCCTCCTCCATTCCCTTTCCGGGGCTCCCCTCTCCCATTCCGAGTTGGGACCAGGAAGAGGGACGAGGGGCAGGGCTTCCTTAGTACCTGCTGGAGGAGGCAGTGGAGGGGATGCGTGTCTGGGATTTCTTGGCTCGACTGAGATCCAGCTGACGTTCGTGGTCTTTGCCGACGTGGTGTGGGTGGTGTTTATTCTCCTTGCTCAGTCTGGGAGGCACCTGGGAATTTCCCTGCCTTCGGCTCTGTTAGCTGCCTGGCTCAATCACAGAAACTTCCTGGAAAAGTACAGACAGCTCCTGACTTAGGATTTTCTGACTTTACGACGGTTCTAAAGGGACAGCTTTCAGTAGAAACCGAACTTGGAATTTTGAATTTTGATCTTTTCCTGGGCCAGCGATATGCGGTGGAATCCTCTCTTGTGAGGCTGGGCAGCCGCAGCTACCGGTCGGCCCGCGACCCGAGGGCAAACGACCCACACACTTAGACCATGCTGGACACATCAGCCATTCTGTTTTCACTTTCAGCGCGGTATTCAATAAATTGCATGAGTCATTCAACACTTTATTGTGAAATGGGCTTTGTGTTAGATGGTTTTGCTCAACGTAGGTTAGTGTAAGTGTCCTGAGCAGGTTTACGGGGGGCTGGGCTGAGCTGCGATGCTCTGGAGGTTGGGTGTGAGAGAGGCGTTGCCGACTTTCTGTGTTTTCGACTTGGTGGGTCTATCGGAGGCAGGTGGGGGCGGCTCCGCGCAGCCCAAGGAGAGAACCGTGAAGGGCAGGACCAGGACGGGGAGCGCTGTCCTGTGGGGAGAATGTTCATGGACTCTTCGCTGCCCTGCAAGGCTCAGCCTCTCTTCGGAGATGTCTCCGCCGATGGAAGGAGGCCCCACTGCCTCAGACTCCGCAAAGAGGGCCCCGGAGCGCAGATCCAAAGAAGTACTCAGAAAAGTTTGCAATTAAGTTTTAGGAAAAACTGTCAAATTTGTTTAAAAAATTCCTTCTGAAGTAGGAAGGAGACATTAGGAGGGCGCCTTTTCACGACTAGCTGCTGCTGTGAACTCTTCAGCGCTCACTGTGTTAATTTCCCCCTCTCTCCTCTTCACGCCCGCACCCCCTCCTCGTTCAGGAGGATTTCTATTTTTTTAACGGATTCCTTGAAATTCTTTTTTTAAAAACATGTGCACTTAACTAAAAAAATACTAAAGGTAATCAATATCCTTATCCTCTATCTGAAAAATGCAGTGCCTTTAGAATGCTCATCATGACATTCTTGAATTTTAGTTCTATCCTGATAAAATAATGAACTCCACAAATTAGATACTTTAATTTTTTCATGTACTCAATGTTTGTTTAGATTTGTATATGTTTTTATTAAGAAAAAAGCTCTCCTTTTCTTCTTGTAGTTCAGGCTTTCTTTCTGATATTTTTCTTCTTCCTTGGGGTACGTCCTTTAGAAGTTTCTTTAAAAGTAAAGGCTTCTTGGTGGTAAACCTCAGTTTTTATTTATCAGAATATTCTTTATTATACTCAGCTCCAGATAGATAGTTTCACTGGATATACAATACTAGCTTTAGTTAAATATAACCAATTCTGTTTGCTTTTAAGATCTTTTCCTTGTGTTTGGTATTTTGAAGATTTACTTCAAAATCTGTAGGTGTGTATAAATTTATTTTTCCTTGAAAATTCTTCCGGAGGGATTATTTTTAAAGAATCTCAGTCTCAGAATTTACATTTTCCTAAATAAGTCGTGAGATGGTCACGCGCAGCATGGTGACTTTAGTTAGTCATACTGTATTGGATATTTGAAATTTGCTAAGAGAGTAGATCTTAAAAGTTGTCATCACTAGAAAAAAATTGTAACTACGGGTAGTGATGGATGTTAGTGAGACTCATTCTGGTGATCATTTCACAATATATACAAATATCAAACCATTATGCTGTACCCTGAAACTAATATAATAGCATATGTCATTTGCATTTTAAAAAAAAGAATTCATGCTTTTATTTTTAAAAACTGGAAAACTCTCTGAATTACACTTTTGAATAGTTCCTCTTCTGCATTCTCTCTAATATTTCCTTCTCAAATTTTGGCCAGACATACCTTAGACCTTTTCGTTGTAGCTTCCTCATCTCCTAACCCCATTTGTATTTTTTATTTTTCTTGTCTTTATTTCTACCTCCTGCATTATGGTTAAA